CTTCAGTAGTATCTGCGAACTTCTCAAAATGTTTTAATTTAACTCTGTAATACAAAAGTAAATATAATTGACAAATATTAATTTTTAATATTAAAAATAAAATTATTATAATGTAATATATATTTTGCATAATAAATTTATTATTATGATTATTAATAATATTAATTAATACTTTTTTAATATTTATACATACATTTTGCTAGCAGCTTCAGGTGTTTCAAATTCATGATAAAGATTTTCTACTTCTGTTAATTTATTTTCATCGAGTAACTATAAGAAACAAATATAATTTTATGTAACACAATTAAATTAATATGATATTTATACTTAAAATTTTAAAATATTAAATTGTTCAAATAATATTAAAAATTATAACCTATTACAAACACGTGCAACACATAGTTAGGTTAAATATTAAATTATATTTTTTAGAATACTTTACCTTAAAAATAGCATATCCCGCAGGAGTTTCAAATAATACTAACATTTTGAAAAAATTTTTTTTACGTTAAAAATATTATATTAATGTTTAAACAAATCTCACATTTGTGATGAAACGCGCCAACGAATTGTAGCATAGACAAGATAGAGAATAGATCTACCATCCAATATATTATTTTTCCGCGTTTAAGTAGTAACGATTTTAAAATCTCTTTACAACTTTAATATTATTTCCAATGTTATCGATTCAAAGATAAAGAATAAGCACAAATTAAAGACGAGATATTTTCTTTTGTTATACGTTCGCCTTAAGTATATTATTTTATGTATTTATTTGAAAATTTTATGTTACGATGAATTATAGTGTTTTTGGATGTTTTAATATAATAAATGTGCAAAAAGAGCGCGAAATTAGATTTTAAAATTAATAAATAACACAAATATTTTGAATTAATATCGTACAAATTTTAGGAAATTTTATTTTTAATTGTATTCATCAAACCTCAAAGTAGTTGTGAAATTATAAAATTTTAATCGAGATATTATATTTAGTAAAAATATATTTATCTATAATAAATCTGTAATATGAAAAAATCTTGTCTTTAGATTACATTTTGTTATATTATAATATATAGCATAGAAAAAGAACATACGACCAAAAGAAAGGAATGTATAAGGAAAAACATAAAAGAAAACGTTAGGATGTTTTTATTTTGAAATAGTCAATGAATTATTAAAAATTGCTAGAAATTTAAAGAAAATGAAATAGAATTATTTGGTTGATTTGAAAATATATAACAAATTTATAATTTTAAATTATTTATAATTTTTAAATTATTAATATTTAGCTAAAGATAAAATTTTCAAGAAAATAAATGTTAGAAAAACAATTAATGGCAATCGTTGATTTAGAATTAAAATCAGAAAAATTTGACACATATCAAAATACTAAACATATAGGAATACAACATTGTTTTACATTAATTTGATTGAAATCATATCTAAGTAGATTGAAAAAATCTTAATAATCTGTTAGTAATTTACAAAAAAAAAAATTTTTGAAAAAGATTAATTTATATTTCTAATAAAAAAAAATTGAAATATAAAATAATAAAATAATTTTATATTTCATATGAGTCTTCAAGAATAATGTGATGCTTATCAGTTCGACATGACGCATATTTATAAAATTACAAAACATTTGTTATATGAAAATAAATTTACTTAAAGCAGTGTCTATGTAATATATATATTATAATAAATATATGTAGCAATAATATTTCTAAATTTTATGAAATAGATTATATTCTTATTAAGATTAAAATGACTACAATAGGATTTTATGATTACAATATAATGAAAGAAAAGAAAAAAAGAAAATTTTAATTCCTGTTGATTTTTTCGTAAAAATCGGCAACTTTGAAAATCTATTTAAGCCCATTTTCTTGAAAGGATTAAGAAAATTATTAAGTATGACTCATTGAAAATGCTAGTAAAGATCGATAAGTAACTAACTAAAAATATATATATATATATTATATATTTCTTTTTCATATGAAATATCTTTGAAACTTAACATTATCTTTAAAATTTGTTTATAATCTATTTTAATTACATAAATGTTATGATATTTAATAGATAATTTTAACCATTTCAATATGACAATTTTAAACATTTCTTTAATTTTTAATTAGGATTTATATTTCAATACTTACATATATTGTAATGTAGATTGTTTTATATAATGATTAGGATAATGGAAAATTTTTAAATCTAAAAGATAATTCTTTATGATTTATTTTTGTAAATATTGTAAATATTGTATATAAATAAAAAAAATGAATTAAAATATTTACATATTTAATATTTTACATAAAATTTTTATATGTAAAAATATAATAAATATATATAATAAAACTCTTCTTTATGTACAATTAAATTATAATAAAATAAAATATAATAAATTACATAATAAAATATTTATTATTACATTATTAATAAAATGTCACACAAAATAATATTGTTATATTGTTATAATTTAAAAATCAAATCGTAAAGAATTATCTTACTCATTTAAACTTTTGTTTCTAATTTGATATTTTTTAAAGTATTTTACATATAAAAAAATTATATTATTTTTTATAATACATTTCGATAGAAGAAATGTAATACATTATTAGTTTTATATATAATCAAATCAATATATAAATCATATAACTTTTATATATTGTTTTAAAATTTTTATATTTATAAAAATTTGATTTTACACATTATGAATTGAGAATTATATAAATTGCTATAATTTAAAATTTAATATTTATATATATTATTATATATAATATTAATATATATTTAGCATATCAGTAGTTATATATGTAAATATTTATGAAATTAAAAACATTTTTATACAATTTTTAACTCATCAAATATATAATTGATAGAATTTAATTAGTGAAAATTACAAATATATATAATTGATATTATTTTAAAATATAAATATAATACAGAAAAATAATTATATTAAATTGTCTGGAAACAAATTATCTTTAATAATTCAATATTTAAAGCTTCATATGCTAGAAATATATAAATGTATCATAAGAATAATTGATACATGTCCTAAAAATTCTATTAAAATTTTATCAAGTATAAATATAAATATATTTAATATTTAGAAATAAAATTGAAAAATGAAGTTCATGAACGTAATGATCATAAATATGACAATAAAAAATCATTATTAGATATAAATCGAAATTAATTATTACTTACTAAATTGAAATATTTTCAATTTTAAAGAATATTACTAAAATTGATTATTAATTTCCAGATAATTTAATAATAATATTAAAATTTAATAATAATAAGTTATATGTTTAGAAGAGTTATATATGCAATAATGTCTAAGAAATCATTTCTTAATTATTATTAAGAAATAATGATTTATTAATATTATTTATTAATTATTATTTAATGAAATAGATGATTTAGAAGAAAAATTATATCACATTTTGTTTTACAAAAACAAGAAATTATATATTTTTGTTAGTTTGAAAATATTTAATAATTTTAATGTAATGTAATTTTAATTTAACTATTTATCTACATAAAATATATTTATGATTATAAATATTGATTATATATTAGAATACAGAATAATTACAAGTATTAAATTTAGACATTGGTCTGATTTTAAATCACAAACAGATTGATTTAATCTATACTCACATATTTATACATTTATGAATATATGTACATATTATCATTTATTCAAAATTTCAAATTATATTATTACAATTAAACATATATCTTTTCTATTAAATATTTCTCAAAGCACTAAATAAATTGAAATATTTATAACTTATAACATTCATGTAATAAATATTCATATTCATTTTCAATCAAAAAATTCAGATTCAATATTGTATTTTTCCTTTTAAATCAAGCAAGTTTTTTTATATTTTTCTTGATTCATTTCATGATTTTTTAATTAATTATATTTACATTAAATATAATATGCATTTATCATAGTTTTATAAACTAAATATATTCATATTACATATATATCAATGTTTAAATTTTGTTCACTAATTGATTTTGTATAATATAAATATGAGGTATGATTATTAGCATTTTTTATTTAAATATTGTTACGACATTAAATATTTCACAGCAATATTTAAAAAAAATATTAATAATATTTAAAACTGCTGATATATGCACTTATTAATAAATTTTATAATCATATAGTATATAATACAATAAGGTCATGTAATTTACAAACACCTTTATAAAAAATTACATCATTTAATGTCATTTAAGAATATATTTATTTCATTTTACATATGTTTAATATATCTTTTAAGATTTTAGAAAATAGAATAGACATATTCTTTGAGAACTATATAATATAAATTTTAAATTCTACTGCACTAGAATATTTATAATATTCTTAATAATTGTTTTCAAAATTTTATCTTAAATGTATAAGTAAATATATCAATATATTATTTTTGTATAAATAAATGGATTTATTTTATAAATCATCTTTCAATTTGTTTGTACAATTTGCTAGCTGCAAAATATAAATTAATATAAGTCACCTCAAAGAAAAAATAATTAATAATTAATACAACCTTGATATAATTTTTTCTATATAAATTTTACATAAGATTAATTTTGGTAAGGTTGTAAAAATATTTTTCAAAAATAAAAAAAAATTATAAATATTTGAGTCTTATAAATGTATAATAATATGCCCTTAAAAGAAATAAGATGTAATACTTTAAAAATTAACACCAATATCATAGTATTACATTCTTTTATATTGTTATATTGTTTTATGATACTATATAATTAAAATAAATTATTAAATATATTTAGTCATTGAATTTTGTTAATTTAAACAAAAAATATAAATGACTAATTAGTAATTAGAAATAACTAATCTGTAAATAGTATTGTATATAATAAAGATTATATTTTATGTAAAAAGATATTGCATTGATGAGATATAAATTGTTTATACATAAAAATATTTGTATGAAAAATTCATAAAAATTATATTATATCATCTTTCTTTTCCTTATAAGGGCATAATTTTATGAATAATAACTTATTGCACGCAAAAATTAATGAACAATTGGCTGTGCATAAACTTAATCTTAATAGATTTCAGAATATGTTCTTATATTTAACTAAATGTTTGTAAATTATTAGTTATATATGTTGTATACATTATAATTTTTCAAAGTACTAGAATAGTGCATATATTATGTATTATACATAAAATCATTATTCTTTTTATATTAATTTATCGAATACTAGTAAAGAGATTTAATACAGACTTATTTTCTTTCTGACTACGTGCTTTACTGAACACATTCCAAAAACGCAAAGTTTCATCTCCAGCACCAGTTACAATAGCTTCACCATCTGGTGACATAGCTAAATATAAAACTCTATATGAATGTCCTGTTAATTTTGCAACTTGGGTTAAGCTGGGATATTTCCAAACCAAAATTTGGTTTTGAGAATAACCATGTGTACTGACTAGTTCTGAACTATGCTTACTCCAAGCCAAATTACAAACTTGAGAACCAGTATCTACACATTGCATTGGTTGACCTGTCAATGTGTTCCAAAATCTAATACATCTATCTGCTGTACCACCACCAGAAGCTAAAAGACCATGATGATGTGGAGACCACGCAATAGCTTTAACTGCTGCTAGATGTTCGGTATATGTTTGTATTGGTGAAAGGGAATGTAAGTTCCATACATAAAGACGGTTGTCATTTCCACCAGAGGCTAAATATTGATTATCTGGAGACCATTTGAGTCCACAAACTTCTTGCCTATGAGCTCCTAGACGTCTTTCACTGACAACACAAGGAGTTCTAACATCTCTTTGTAATATTAACCTATCTCTACTACCAGATGACAAAACTTCACCATTCCAAGCTAGTGCTCCAACTCTTGCACTATGTCCTTGTAATTTGCTTACTTGTTTACTTACAGCTACATCCCATACTTGGATATAGCCCAAATGTGTACCAACTGCAACTAGGTTTCCTCTTTCATTCCAAGCAACTGATGTTACACTATTACCATCACTGGATAAATCACATAATCTAGTCACTTGGCTGGTACATGCAGACCACAAATAAACACAACTACCTAGACCAACACTAAGAACATTTTGTGAAGACCAGTCAACAAGATTTAAATAAAAATCATCTTGTAATTCAGGAGCATCCAGTACTTTAAAAGGTATTCTGGAAATTTTTCTTGTTGCTTTTCTTGGTGATCTTAAAAGTTTTTGACTTTTAGCACTCAATGGTGATAAAGAATAAGGTGAACTTTGATCCAATAGTGTATGGTCTTTTGTAGGTGTAATGTATTTAAAAAGATTTCTGGTAACTAATGGTGATAATACTCTTCTTTCTTCACATTGTCCTTTTACATCTTCTATACTTGCTCCAAGAAGTTCATTTTTTAGAAGACAAGAATAAGCAATACCATCACGGTTACTTTCTCCATTTTCGCGAGTCTTCTTTGTAACTATACCATTCCGATTATTTTCTGATATCATTGAAAATGTTGTTTGCCAATTATTGCCCGATCGTGTTGGAATAAATCGATCGAAACTATTGTTCATCATTTTAGTTGGCGAAAAATATACTGATGAATGAAGTCCAGAACCTGCCAGACTATCTATATGACTCTCGCTGTTTGACTTCAACAGCCGTTTCTCGTATTCGTGATGAAACATTTTTTTAATGCTACTCTTTCACATTCAGTCACATAATTATTCAAACACGTTTTCTTTTCTTTAAATCACGTAGATTGCACATACATTGTCATTTCTCATGCAAGTCACTGTATTGATGAAATTAAGTACAGTGTATCATCAAATCGCTATTCAACGTCAACTTGGAAAATTTTCGATACGGAAATAAAGAGGTTGAACGTGATTCTCCAATCGAAATGCTTAGTTTGAAGTACTACGTTTGAAAACAGATGGGCAAACATCTGTATAAAAAGATGCAATTGAATGAATATCCATCTAGCGACGTTCTTACGAAGTTATAATGAAATTCTAGTTTATAACGAACTTTTTAAAAAATATATAATTTAATGATTCGTGAAATTTGTGAAAGTAATCTTTAAATAGATTTTATATGAAATATTTTAAAAAAATGTATTCTTATTATATATTTCACAATAAAATTTACAGTTTTATAAATATGAGGTACAAAATAATTGACACATATATCAAAGTTATATATATATATATTCACAAAAGATTGTACAATTTTCAGTTAGCAGTTGAAAAAAGTAAGTTATGATTATTATATATATTTTTTATTCTAAAATTCTTAATATCAATTTAAAACTTTATTTATAAAATCATGCATATTTCAAATTAATATTTCAAATTAAAATTGCACAGTAAACAATAGAAAATTTAAAGTATAAGTAGAACTAACCTTAATGTTCAATATTAATTTACAACTTATATAAGTTGCATAATTATTTTATTTTAACAATTATCATAAGATATTTGTATATATTTTAAATTTTAAAATATTGAACGAATTTTTTAGTTTATATTATCTTAGATTATTGAATAATTTAATGCGATTTATATTAATAAAATAAAAATATTTTTTTAACTAAAAAGTAAATATACATATTTGCACAATTAGATGTTTAAAAAATATTGTAATTATGTTTAATATTATCACATAAATATATAGAAACATAAAATTTGACATAAAATTTTAGTCTTATTCAATCTTTGCCGATAATTACGAAAATTTTTCATTCATTGAGAATGAGAAATGCGAATTATTGGAAATTTATTATATTTAATTTAATGATTTAAAGAAATTAATATTATTTAAATGCGCGTTCCTTTAAACTGTGTAACGTACCTATATACATGCATAATGCTTACTTGGATTAAGAAATTTACGATAATGAAAATAGAAAAATTTGAACATAAATTTATAATTGTATAGTATAATTGTAATAAATATTATATTTTTAATAAAAAATTATTTTATATTGATTACATATTCTTTAATTATTAATATAATGTTTCTTATAATATATATCAACAAAACATTTTTTATATGTTAGCCAATAATTGCAATCGAATAATATATTTCATAATATTTTGAATAATTTAAATTTTAAAATTTTTTAATAAAATTATTGATTATATGATATCATTAAATTCATTTTATTATATTATTATTGTGTATTAGAAAATACATATATCATTTAAAAAGAACTTAACCTTAAAATGATTTTTTATTTGAAAAATTTATACATGCATATTTTAATGCATTGTTAAATTTAATTTTTTAAATTAAAAAATAGATTTAAAAATGTAGTGATAAATCTATAATTAAAATTATTTAATATAGACGTAATATTATTTATCATGGTTATCGCTTAAATATATACAATTGGCTAACTTTGGGAACTCAATCAATCTTTTTTTATCGTTTAATAGTAACATTTTGAAAGCATGTATTTTATTTATTAAAATTTAATTTTACTAATTTACATTTTTATTATTATATTTATATTTTTTTCCCTTGAAAATCTTATATAATCCTTCAGATATTTTTTATAATATATAATTACAATTTTATTTAAAATTTTTAATTATAAGGATGTGTATAATTTCAGTTCATTTGAAAAAATGGGAGGTCATGGTCATGGATCTTCAATGAAAATACCGAGTCCTGACATATATAAAGTAGAAGATGTGCCAGAGCTCAAATTGGTTCAAGAAAAACTAGCTAAACATGGGTTGAAGGATCCTTGGTTGAGAAATGAAGTTTGGCATTATACAATACTTCCTGGTTCTTCTCATACCTTACGGGTATTTAAGTCAATTACTAGGGGTATGCTAGTTGGATTTGTTGCATTTATAGCAACACTAGGTATAGAAAAAACTCTTGGAATTAGTTATGATCCTAAACATGATGGTCACGATCATGATAGTCATCATTAGTTTTATTTAAAAAATAATTGATAATATAGAAAAATATCATAAAATTGCTTAATTATTGTTGTATATTATAAATTTGAAAATAAATTATAATTTAAATGAAATGATTTTATTGTATATTTAATAACTAATTAGTGATTTATATTATGAAGATTAATATGTGCAAAATGTAGAACTGCTACAGAATATATAAAAAATTAAAATTAAAATTTTTATTATTGTATTTGATTTGGAGTTTTTATTGAAAGAATTATTTAAAAAAATTTAATATTTAAATTTCTAATCAAATAATTTTTTTTTAAATATTTTTTTATTTCAAATGTTTCTCAGGATATGAATATTGATAAATACTTATAAATGCATGCCTATTTGAATATATTTGAATATATTATACATTAAAAATTATATAAATTTTCTTCAATTATATAAAAAAATTATAATTTTATGTAAGCTATGTATGAATAATATATTTTTATTTATTTATTTCATTATACAAAAACTAGTAAATTCTTTAATATAATTCAAATTATAATATAAAATGCAATATCTTTAATAATATTATATTATGTATATAATACATTAATTATTTATGTAAAAAATATTCTATTTAATAATATATTATTACTTACATTTTTTTTACCATTATGTTTCATTATTAGAGTTAACAGTGTTGATACTAATATTGTTACTACAATAGCTAATGTGCTATTATTACACAATACAATGATGAGAGTAAATATTGAAATTTCAAATGTTGCAAATAACCATTCATTTCCATATAATAACACTTGATTAAAAGAATAATTATTATCTGCAAAATTTATATACAATATAAATTATGATAAAAAATATTCCTTTTTTTTCTATTAAAAACACATTACCGATATAGAAAGTTGATTTCTCTTCATTGTAAGAAAATATATTGAATAATTTGTCTAAAAAATGCTGTTCTTTAATAAAATAATCCTCATCTTTTATGCAATGATCTATAAACTTACATAAGAACTGTTTTATTTTTAATTGATTATTAAATATATATTCCCAATTTGTAGATGCAGAATAGAATTTATTTATAAAATTATGTCGTTTCTATGAATTAAAAATATATATAATTTATAATTCCAAAAAATTTTGATTAAAACTATATTATACATACAATTTTTGTCAGTTTCAAGTTTTTGTTGAACGTAATCCTGAAAGTTTTTGTTAAATATAATATAAATGTTTGTTGAGTTGTGCCTGGAACAAGACCTCTGTGTGCACATAAATTATTTTTTTCCATTTGCAAGTTATTAATTAAAGTAGGTAAGTCTGTATCTGCAAATCCATGTACTGATCTAAATGTAGAAAAATGTATTGAATTACAATATTTTATTTTTTAAATTTATGTACTTTGATATTAATATATATTACCTTCCATGAATATAGAAACCATAATAATTAAATGGTAAAATAAATATACTAATATTTGCAATTGAACATAGATTTACAAATTCTTGCATTCTGTTTGTAATACATTGTTCAAAAAATACAGATACCAACCAGTGAATACAATAAATTAAAATATATATTAAGGTACATATTGTGTAGTATAAAATAAAATCATAATTGTTTTCAAACAATATAGATGTTAATTCTGGTATTCCAATAATCCATGGACACAATTGTATTATCTATTTAAAATGTATAATTTAATTTTGTTTAATTTTTTTTAATTATTTTTTTATGAAGCTTAAATTTACCTGAAAAATACATAGAACAGCAAGTAATTGTATCATAATATTTATTTTTCTTTTTGTTTGAAGGTTTAACCATTTATTTGCAATGAAATATGTTCTCCAAATACTAATAGGTAAATTACCAAAATTGCTATCTTTATTCATTATTTGAGTAGAAATTTTTGATATTGAATTTTCAGTTGAAATATCAATTTTTTGTTTGTCAACTGAAAAAGATTTATTAAAATTCTTAGGATTCTCATATTTCTTTAATTTATATAATATTTTTTTGCGTTTGGCTGTTATTATTTCTGATGTCATGTGAAAATGTTTGAATTTATTTTTAGAAAATTTATTGATATAAAACTCATTTATAGATAAATATGGAAAATCGTGTTTACATTGATTATTTATTATTTTTGGTTGTTCCCAATCGATAAAAAATATATCAATATTCCAATATTGACAAATAAATCCAAGTATTTCTATAAACTAAAAAAATTATTGAGATTAAAATATTTAAAAGTTAGCTATAATTAATTGTATTTATATATTTATATTTGTATTAATATTTTATGTTGTATTATACAGTAAATACTTACTTTAGAAAAAAATGCTATTATTGTAAATGTTTTTATCATTTTTTCATTAACATCTTCAGGGAAAAAAATATATGGTATTGTTTTTTCTTTATAAAACATAAATAGATATAAACATAAAATGATTAAGCATAAAATAATTATATTTCCTATAATACTCATAGTATAAATGAAAAACCAAATAATTACAAATATATTAATAGAAGAAATATGATGTTGTTTAGTATAATTCCATGTTTTTATTCCTGATAATGATAAAGCCAATATTAACAAAATTCCAATAATTATCTAAAAATATTTTAATATATTATGATATAATAATAGAAATATTATTTTATATTATTCTTTATTATTTTGTATTTTTACCATAAAATATGAATCTATATTATTATCTTTTATAATAAATTTAATTTTATATTCTAATGTAATTTCTACTATTTTATCAATCTGTTCATATATTAAATCAGCATATTCAATAATTAATAATGGTGGAAATATTTTATTCTTATCCTTTGTATTTTGAACATTAATTCTGTAAAAAGTATTATAATATAAAAATTTATTAAATGTTAATACTAATTTATTTATATTTATATTATAAGTTGTCATAATATAAGATATTGAAATTAATATATATATAATTTATCCAATATAATTAAATTAGAATATAATTAAATTTTATGAAAAATGAATAAAAAACTTACATTACATTTAGTGATTTCATATAACGTAATACAGATAATTTATCGGCTTTTTCATCAGTATCATTTATTGTGAAATTTGACAATCTTTTAAAACTTTTGATGTTGTCAACAAAGAAAAATTTTCGTACTAATTGCCAATCTGATATTTTATTATAATCCTAAAATAGTTTATACTATACACATATATAATATAATACATGTTTTAGTAAAATCGAGTTATATAATCAAAACAAATATTAATTATGAATTATGTTATTTGAAAATGTTAATTAATTACTAATTTACTTACTTGATTAATATTTTTAATAAGTATAGGTAATGCATACATTAAATTATTGTTATTTTTTGTAAATGTTAAATATGGATACATAAATTCTATCTTTGCTTGCATTAAATTTTTAATTGAAAGTTTACATTTTTTTTCAAAGTCAATACCAAATCTAACATGTTCCAACAAATTGCATGGAATATTAGGTTTACCAATAAATTTCAAATTGCCATGTAAAGAAAATGTAACAACTATAAAATTTAATATACTATCCTAAAAAAAATATAATATTTACACTATAAACTATATTAGATTTATTTAATAAAATAATAGAAATGGTTATAAAAATGTATATACATACATTGCTTTCTTTCATAAAACTATAATTTTGTGTAATTTGTTTACTATTTAATATAGTTGTAGTTTCATTTTTATTATAAAATAACCATATAGATGCTTTTTGTTTCTTCATAAAAAATTTACATGCAATATCATTAGCATAAAGACTTAAAGCACACATATTTGATAAATGTTCACATGCTAATTTATCTTCTTTCTAAAAGTATGTGAAAATTATTTTTTTATTCTCATATCCTTATTTATTTTCTTACCTTACAAAAATATATAACTTTTTTAAGTTCACTTCTCAAATAATAACTATCTATATGTTGATCCTTAAATTTCATTTGAAATGCAATTTTTGAATTTTGTTTATCAAAAAAAGGATTTTTATATAAACAGTAATTCTGTATCAGTGTATAATAATACTTTGTAAAATATGTATCACTTTCATAATAATTATATTCAAAATTTTTGCAGGGTAAACATTTAGATCCAGCCAAAAATGGATAAGTATTATTTTCACATGAAATACAATACATAGCATCTAATAATGTTCCATCTAAGTTTCTATCTACTATAAAATATAATTTAGAATATAATTTAAAGTTTTTTACATTAAATAATATTTTATATATAATAATAATAATTGCCTTACTATTAAATAATATAATAAAATACATAATTTAAAGTAAGTTGGTTTAAATTATATATATTTTTTGATTCTTTAATTATTACCTTGTATTTCATTAGAAGAACATATGCATGTTCCATTGTTACATGATACACAATCATTTCCGTCTGATGTTACTGTAGCATTAATGCCACAAGATATACATATAGGATAACCATCTTTGAAACCAATTTTTTTACTAAATTTATTACAAATACATCGCAATCCTACGAATAAAATGATTTAAGTATTTGTCTAAAATGTTTTAAAAAAAATTATTTTAAACTTACGATCGTCAGATGGCTTTAGGTTTTTGTTAACATCACATTCCATGCAAGAAAGTGTCACAATATCAAAATGTTCATTATTTTTACATTTTGATGGTTCAGAAAACTCAAGCAATTCTTTGTTTGCAATAGCAATTAATACAAAATTTATGCAATAAATTAAAAGATAAAAAAAGATATATCTTCTAATACAGTAACACATTTTATGTTTATTTAATATTTGTGTATAGCTTTTGTCTCTATGGTAACCAGTTATAGAAGCATATTGTTATATTTAAATTAAATGTTGAATAATTATACTTAAAGAATTAAAAAAGATTAAAATGTTTTTTGCATAAAATTTAATATATATTTGGCAAATTTATATTCATTTACAAATTGCAAGAGTAGAATCTTAAAAAATATTTCATTAAAAAGAGTACAAATATTTTTTTTAATCACTAATTACTAAATATTGAAATAATACAAGAATTCTTTTTACATTTACTTAAATACTTAAGCATTTTTAATTTAACATAAATTAGAATTATTTTTATATTTTAAATATTTTGTATTGCAATATTCGTTTGAAATTTACAAACAGCTATTGCGCTGTTATCGATGCGCGTGATCTTGCGCAGTAAGTTATGCGCTCCACGTATTATGCGAGGAGAAATATTGGTACCAGTTACGCCTCGATCACCGTACCATACGGATAGATAAGAGGTACGCATATTTCAGATATATAATTTAAAATCATACAAATGTTATACAATGTTATACAATGTTATACAATATTATACAAATGTTAAATTTGAAATATACATGTTTTATTCGCGAATGTTTTAAATATATTTATTTGCGAATTTGATAATTTCGCATGTTATTTTTTACGAATGTTTAGTATACATATACATATATTATATTTGTAAGTGTTATAAAAATACGTGTTATTCGCAAATATATTATAAATATTAATAATATAATAAATAAATAAATGTAATGAATAAATAAAATTTTTATAAAAATAGAACAATTATTATATTAATTATAATAACGTTTAATTTCAACTTAGAATTAATATTATGAAAATCAATAATTACAATTTATTTTATACATTAAAGTTAGTTTTTTAAAATTTTCGAATTTATTTATGTATTTATTAATGTAATAGTTTATTAATGTCTAGATAAAAAGAAAAGCCTTAAAAAATGATCTATCTCTCTTTGCGATTTATTTTATATAAAAAATCTGGCACTCATTATAAAATTCAGTAAAAAGATATGATTTCTTTGATCAAATGATATCAAAAATAATTTTTCAAATATAATTTTGAATCATTAATAATAATCGATTGAAAATAATCGCGATATGAATAAAAACATTTTTAATTTGTTTTAAATTAAGAAATATAAAATGTCTGTAAATTAAGAAAAAATTTTTATTATTTCAAATTATTATATATTATATATATTATATTTATATATATATTTTATCATATATTTTTAATATATAATAGTTTTTAAATTCTTTGAAATTTTATTACACATTTAAATTTTATTTATCATTAATTTTATAATATCATTAATCATTTATAAATGTTTTCTTGTTAAAACTTAAAAAACAAATTTATACTATTTTAATATAAACATTTGTAAAATTTCCGATCTCTTTTTGAATTCTGTTTTTATGAATATTTTTCATTTATTATTTTTGATTAATATTTTAATTAAATATTTACAATATGAGATTTTTTTGTTATTTACTTTATTTATGATTTTACATTAAAATTTAATATGAAAACTAATTATCACAAATATTGCATTTTATGTTGAATCGGTAATACTGAGAATGACTTTAACATAGTAAGAGGGCTCTGGACTAAGAAATTCTATTATTAGAACTGTTTTCTATCTCATTTATGTTGTATATAAATCAGTTGTTGACAAATGTTATATATTTATAATCTATTAACATTTTAATAGTAGAAAATAACCACTATGTCACAAGTCAAAGGTATATTAATTACAAAATATTTTAAATATAACTTAAATATTTTTTAAATATATTTTATATCATTTTTCTTTATTACAAGTTTCTCACAAATCTTTTTTGTTTTTAATATAATTTAATATAATTTGTTATATACATTGTTATACACAATGCTTATTGACTTATTAAAATAAACATATATATATATACAATATAAACAATTATATTATAATCATTAAAAATTTGACTTTCTTATTTTATGATTGGATAAAAGGTGGCGAAAAAAATCGTGGATATCGTTTTAATAAGAAAATTAACTGTGGTAACAAGAAAAAGGAAATTGTGGAAAGTACAAATGAAAACAGTTTTGTTTTACAACAATTTCGAGCATATGCAACTGAATTAGATGATAAACATGATCGTTTTGAAAGAATTGTAAAAACTGGAAGAGATATTACTATAGAAAGCAAAAGAATTATTTTTCTTTTGCATACTATAGATAAAAAAAGCAAACAAGAAAGTGTGTTATGTGAAGCTGATTTAAGACTGCAAAATGTTGCACAAAATCATTTCAAAGTTATTTCACAAGAATTAGAAAATCAAGATCCATATCTTTATTTAAAAGCTTATCGCAATGGTTTAGAAGAATATATAGAAGCTGTAACATTTTATCAGTACTTAAGTAGTGGTAACATGAAAAGTTGGTTAGAATTAGGAAAATCACTTACTTATACAAGTTCTGAAAAATCTAAATCTATACAGATTTTAATTACTCCATTTGAATATATCTTAGGCATTTCTGATTTGACTGGAGAGCTAATGCGTCAATGCATTAATAATTTGGCAACAGGAGATAGTGCTAGTTGTTATGAAACATGTAATTTTGTTAGAAATATGTATAAAGGTTTTCTTGGTTGTGTTAATATATCAAATAAAGAAATAAACAGAAAACTTTGTACTCTTAAACAAAGCCTTCATAAAATGGAGAATGTTTGTTATACAATTAAAATAAGAGGTTCAGAAATACCAAAACACATACTTGTAGATGTAGCTACTGAAGAATATATAGAAAGTGATGAAGGATATCAAGTTTATTAAATTTTGTAACTATTTTTGAAATATTTATTTATCATTGTTTTTGTACATTTCAGTCATAAAAAAATAACTAATTCTTATATGATTATACTTACTTATCAATTATAATATTGTAAAAATAAAATATTTCTATATTCTTTCATCTTTCTTACACTACCACATATATTTATGTAGTTATGTAAAATATGTGTTATATAATGTTTCACATGTACAACATACTTTATGTAAAATTACATAGATAAATTTAAAAATATCCGAACATATTATAATAAAAAAAATATCTATCTCTTAATCAACTGGACATATATATATTTTCTTGTTCACTTTCATTTTTGTCAGAGTACATTTCATCATCATCTGAACTTTCAATATCACTAGGTTCATATTCAGATTCATCAACAGATTCTTCAGCAGATTCTTCTGCAGATGAATCTTCTATACCACTTAAAATATCCAAAGATTGTTTCTGAATTTGTTTATAGTTTCGTTTATTATGTTTATTTGTAATATCTTTACCAGTATGTTTGAATTGTATTTTATGTTGAGGATTCTTACGATAACATTGAGTACCATAAGGACACTTTTTTCTATTATCAGGAATATCATAATCAGGATCATCAGGATGACTAAATTTATCTCTATGTTGTGAATTTTTCCTAGCAACAAATTTTTTCATCAAATATTTTAAATTAATATTATAAATTATAAATTTATATATATATAATTACCTGTAACATTCCTTTCCATATTTGCATTTGTTTCTTCTAAAAACATTACAAACTGTTACATTAGTAGATGTCTTGGATTCATGTCCTTCTTTTGAAACAGGAGATTGTATATTTTTTGTAGTAACTTTTTCATTGTTTATATTTATGGAAGCCAAATATGAATTCTTAAAACTTAAAGTTTTTTCGTTTGTAGGTTTATCATTTGATTTATTTTCATTTTGAATTTTGGAAACATCTTCTGTTGTAGATGAATGATTTATATTTTGATATTCATATTTTAATATAGAATTTGAGTTTTGTGTTTTATCTTCATTTTCATCATATGATACATTATTTTCATTGATAATATTTTCTTCAACTTTTACTTTAGTTATATCATTATTCTTATTTAACATTTTGTTCAATACATTATATTGTAAATTGTCACCTTCTCCTGATTCAGAACAAAGCCTTTTATCATGTATAGTATCTGAATCTATATCTTCATTAGCCTATAATTATTAAAAAATATTCGAAAATAAATTGTAGTAGTCATTTAATATACTGATTTCATACTTTTCGTTTTAATGTATAGTCTTCATTATTTTGCATTTTGTCAGATACTAATATAATTTTAAACCAACATTTCTCCGGTACTAGAGTACACACATCTCCAGGTTTTATCGGAACTGTAACACCTAGTTTAAGAAGTTGCCATCGCGACGATTCGGTAGATTTCATGTAACATGGTGAAACCTGATACTAGAAAATAATATTCCTATAGAACGTTACTAAATAATATTCTATATGAGGTTATTATTATATAATAATAAAAATTTTTCTTACCGGTGTTATTGTCATTTCATTGTTAGACATTACATTTATTATTGCAGCATGTTTTATAACTTGATCATTATCACACTGAAATTTAAATTATACAAACTATATATAAAATTTCACAATTTTTAAAATGCAATATCTTTAATTTAAGCGTAATAAATAAAAAAACTTTTATATAATAAAGCACACTCTTCAAACGCATGCGTCAAAATATATAAATATATCGTTATATTTTAAAAATATTTGATGGTTAAGGAAATTCAACATTAATTATCTTTTTCATATATATATTTTAAATATAATTAAATACTTACTGCAGTTACTACTTTTCGACTAATAATGTTGTTACCTATTTTTAAATCCACTTTTTGCACTAAGTCATTATCTACACGAAGTATTTGTAACTTTTTCATTTCTCTGATTTATTAAATGTTTAGAAAATTATCCAAATATATCATATAAAATATTTTTCATAGTGTAAAATCAGTTACAAAATACAATTTTGTTGCAATATTAAAGGTACGTTACACGTATGTTAAAAAAAAATTAAAGACAAAAAATAAATCGAACATCATCATAGTTAGCTAAGCATTTATCACTATGAAAAAATTTAATTGCCTATAATTTAAATATATATATTTTCGAAAATAATTATATAATTTTGGGTAATTGAAAAAAGAAAAATACACAAGAATAATAACAATTAAATTTTTTTCATTTATAATTACAAAGAATATACATTTTTATAAATAAATCAAGTAAAATGCGAAAAGAATTAGAAATTTAATATTGTAAATTTATGTGTGAAAATATTTCATAAAAAAGTCAACAAATAGGAAATTGATTATTTTTATGTGCATCTATAGAGATGTAATCAGCCAGATTAGTTAATTAATTCAATAAAATATTTCTTTGCACCTTTGTATTATTTATTGTATTAATAATAATATTATAAAATTGCAAATGCAAATTTTTTGCAGATATAAAGAAATCTTGTTCGCTTTACGCAATGAAAAACAGTGAATAATATTAATTAATATTTCAACAAATGAAAATTTTATATTAGAATAGAGAAAACTAAAATATATACATATATATATATTCGTTCAATAATATATATATATGTATATATTATTGAACGAAATTATTATATTATTACAATTAGACTAATAAATTAATCAATAAATTCAATTCTGATCAATACTAATCATAAAATTAAATATACATGTTATTTATTATGAATTTCTTATTTTACTTATAATATAGGAACATTATACAAAACGTTTATCTTAATGTCGTTATGGTTTTTTAGGCCGTATTAGCCGTATTTTTTATACTAATCTTATGAGAAAATGTTTCGATCAAAAATTAATTAATTTGCAAAAAATTGTAATAATAAAGAGTTCTAAAAAATTGTTTATTCAATAAAAAATCAAGATAGTCTTGATTTTTTAAATAGCACCATGTATATTTTTGACTTCATAAAATTATAGCTCATATTACGCTTTTGAATCAAATATTTTTTCATAAGATTAGCAATCTTGATGACAATTACGATAAACACTCTGTAGATTTTGAATTGAATAAATCAAATATCGTTTGGCATTTACTAGACCAAACTCCAATTGTTTTCAGCTTAATAATGCATATCGATATAAGAAAGTATTCAATCTATAAATCTAACTTTAAAATTAATTATTTATCTTACATGATTCATGACATTAGTATAATTCTCACTTTCGTTATTCCCAATTAAATAATTAGTATCAACATACACACGTATCACAGGAAGTTCAAACGAAAAAAAGCGATATTATATTTATTTTTTCTTTAAAAAGTAAATATCGAACATGACAAAACTTTCAGATTCTAATTTACACAATTAAAATTTATCGTCGATTTTTATTTCAAATATTGTCAAGTAAAACTATAATGTTATATTATTATATGTTATGTTATATAATTATATAATATATATAATATATAATTATATAATATATATTATTGTAAAATTTTGAAATTTATTAATTTAAAAGAAAGTTATTATTATTTTCTTTTATAGAAATATTAAAACATATCTTTCAAAACAAAATTATTTCTGTTTGTCAATTTTATCTATATAAAAACAAAATTTATTAATATATACATAATATGCATATATTTATATATATGTATTATAATTTAATTATCTATCAATTATAATTAATATAACGTAAAATACGAATATATATACATAAAAATATTCTTTGAAATATTTTTGATCCTTTTATGAAAGAATTACAAAAAAATAATTATATATATATATATATATTAATAATTACAATAGAAGAAACCAGTGTTTCTCAATGAATGAAACTATTTTATTATATGATAAATTAAATTTATCATGTGTCATCATAAAATATTATATGAATTATATGAATGTATACTATGATTGATATTATTGTCTAAGAAACACTAGCTTACAAAAATCATATAGATATTGATCAGCTTTATAATAATAAATAAACATGTTTTGAAATTACGATTCTATACTTTATACTATATTTTATCATTAAATAATGAATATTTTTTTAAAAAATGCCCATATAAGGAATCAAAAAATGTATCATTTTCAAACTGTTTAAAAATTACAACAATACAAATCGTTTTTACATTCTGATTTTAATATATATAATATATATAATATAATAAATAATTTCTTTAATTATTTATTTTTATAAAGTAATAAATAGTAGCGCCATGTGGAATAGGCAATATGAAATACTGTCTATTATTAGAATATTTAATAACTAGTTAATAAGTTTATATTTATTTATTTATTTATTGTAGATAGACTTTCGTATCTGAGAACTATATAAAAATATCTATTCGTTGTAAAAATGATTTATTATTATTTTGTAATAGATAAAAATGCATAGAATTTTATAAACTAAATTCAGGAATACTTATTTTATAATAAACTTTTTCATAAAAAGTTTCGTATGGAGGGATAATGAAATAAAAATCTAAAATAATTATTATAGTATAATATACAAGTTACTCTATAGCTTTTAATTATTTATTATTAATGCTTTGTAGCTCTCAGATATAAAGTCGTCTTTTATACTATGTTTTCAACTAATTGTACATCAATGATGCACTATAAATTTCCAATAAAGCGAACAAGTTTCTCGGGAACAAATTCATATTCTAGAACAAATAAAAAATTTATTTAACTTATAATTTTATTAAGGCAATTTAGTTAGCAATAATTCGGCTATATTTCTAAATTGCGTTAACAAGAAGTGAAATAAAAATATTGAGGAAAAAACATTGTAGCGTATATTTTCAGTAAATATTTTTTAAAATTAACAATGTAAAAAAATATTTGTTGTAATTAAATTTAAAAAAATGATATAATATAAATTCTCTTTGTATTATATACTATCTAATTCATTTTTTTCGTACATAATATAATTTTAAATAAAAATAATAATCTTTAATTACAAATATGCAAATTAAAATAATACTTAAAGTATTATATTTATATTTACATATTGCTCTGACTGATTACAATAATTGCACTGTTAATTTATGCCATAAAAAGCAAATTATTTCAAATCATGTTTTTAAATAATCAAATTAAACGTTGATAATATAAAAATTTTTAATAATATGTATATATATATATAAGCATTTAGTATTAACACCATTCAATTCAATTTTTATTTTTCTAAGAGGATCTTATTGGAATGATTTAGTACAGTGTATAAGAGCAACATACATATGTATACATATATACATGTACACACAATTTACTTATTACTTTCGCTGAATTCTCTTATAAAATTTGTATAACATTATGAAATTTGAACATCTTTATTGTGTTAAAAAAAAATCTGAAAAGAAAGGCAATTGGTATTAATAAAAAAAAAAAACAAATTTAAGCAATCAATTTTTAGACGCTTTGGAATTATCTATTTTTTTAAACAATACTGGAATAATTTTCACTTGGCCATACGTAATATAGATGTCGATAATGGGTATATGGTTGAAACTGCATTTTTGAAGATTGCAATGCACGCATTAATGGGATGTAATCTTCTTCGTGCTTTGAAAATGTATTAATATCTGGTTCTGGCTATACTATAGTACCTCCACTTTCTGCAGGACTGACAACGTGAAGAGCATTTCCAACCTGTCCTATTCCAGGCTGTAATTAAAAAATGCATAAAAATTCACTACTAAAAGTAATTTTATCTTTAAAAAAATTCTATAAATAATTGAAAGCATTTAAAACATAGATATAGTTTCTAGGTGCATTAAAGAATTGTGCAATAATAGCAATATAAAAATATAATCAATAGTAGAACGAGCATATAAAAAACATATTCTATTACTTTGTTCAATGAAGCAATGAACAAGTCAAGAAAACATTAAATTATTATATACACATATGTATACGTACCATGCGATAAATTCTGGGAAGATTCATCCATGATTCTCTTGCATCAGCCAAAGCATGGTACAGAACATTAATCTTTCCAATGAAAGTAAAAAATTAATGTCCCACCGGCTTAAGAAACAAGCACAAGCATCTTCTGATAAAATTATAAGACTGTCACTATAAAAGAAGCAATGCATACTATATGAAAATTATCACAAAAATTTTAACTAGTTAAACCACTATAACATAAAGGAACATAAGGTAATTTAATGATAGAAATGCTTTATGCAAAACGCCAGGAAACTGAATCAGATACTTTAAATTAACATAAAAATAACTATATAATCATACCTAATATGAAATTGAAATTTCAATAAATTTTAAAATTATATAAATATATATATGTATATGTATGTACATATGGCAATTCAATTTTTTTTCTGGAGCTTGCATTGCATTTTATATAAAACTCAAGCAGGAAGCAAGCAGCAATATTTCATTCAAAGTTTTGCTTTATTGTACAACAAGGCAATTCATTGTTTTCAACAAAGGATTAAATGTCACATCATTATAATCCAGGACAATAGTTTCACTAAATAACTCATTGACTTTCTATCATTTACTAAGCTAAGCTAACACTTTACAGGAAGAAAAAAAGGATTTAAGGGGCCTGCCCTGTTACAAAATCTTATGGAGCGCAAACAATATTACTCTCAATGATGCAAACCAAATATAAATATATTCTATTTATAATCATACTAATGTACTCGTTTAATATTTATATTGAATATATTTTGACCAGATGATCATTAGGCACAAATATGAATGGAGATTTATACTATGAATGTCTTATATTTTAATTATATTCATTTTTTCATATATCAATCAAAAAAATACTAAAATTTTACATAATTAAATTTTGAAAAAATCTTACAAATTTACTTCTTTTTTCAGAAAATTTAAATTACAAAATACATAAAAGTTAAATATGAAATATTGTATTTCATAATTTATATAGTAAAGAAATATAGATTATAATATTAAGTTTTTCCATTCATAGTATCATCCGTCCGTACATTTCTGTAATTGGTATATAATATGGACTAAATCTTTAATGTATATATCAATCTGTATTCCAATGGCACCTTTTAATATAATGTATATTGCTTTGGATAAAATGTAAACTAAGGTTTTTTTTTGTAAATATAAGAAAGAATATACATTTATTCTCAAATTAAAATTTAAAAAATTACCATTTATATTATGATATGATGCCGCAAGAACAATATTCATTACATTTGTTAGTAAAGATGAAAAATAACGAAATAATCCTCTTATATTTTTCACATTTAATAATTATGTGTCTAAAAGAACATTTTTCATTTCCTAATATAATTTAACAAAGACAATAGAATTGTCCAAAACATTATTGTATTGCCTATTTCATTCATTGAATAATGATAATGATTTTAAATTTTATTTCTATTTATATACAAATTAGAATTCTTTACTAAAAAAATCCTACTTCACAAAATTGCAATAACAATTGAAGATGGGTTACATCATAGATCGTTAGATCGCAAGGAATTAATGTTGGTGTAAGGATTGCTATGATGATGTGGCCTGTGCAGAGTGCTGCTGATGGTGAGAGGACCTACCATGTGACCAGGCCTTGCCCATGTGTAGACATATCCATCTTGACACGCTGTTACGAAGCAATCTTCCCTAAACACTAATTCAGTCAATCTTTCATGTGCCAACTTCTTGCACACCAGTGGTTCTAACACTGGGCACTCATCAAACCTAGGGCACCAGGCAGTTCCTATCAACCTCATAGGATCGTCCATCACAGAACTAACCTTCTTATTTGGACCTACTAAATTTCCACTGACACTGTTCAAATTACTATTTGTATTTGAGTTAGTGGTAGTTTTATCACTACCACTATTTTGCATTATTGTGCTATTAGATGCACCACTACCTCTCATAGTGAGGCTAAAGTTCCTTTTATGATTATCACCTTTACGCTCACCAAAGCCAAGCCCTGCTAACCTTTGTGTCAAAGAATTTACAGTTGACACTGCTGTATTTGTACTCATGCTATTATTACTACTTTCATTATTACCACTCGCGTTTTCTTTGCAATTAATATTATTCAAATTATTATGTTTAGAATTGTTCAAATGATGATTTGTCGTTGAACCATTCCCACTGTTGATTGTTGCAGATGTAGGAAGAATGCTAGAACCTGCTGCAGATGGCCTTTGTTTTGCACACATTGGTTGTCTCAACACATCTTCTGTAATATCCCACAAACACAATTGAGTATCTTGTGACACACTACCTAACCTGTAGCATGTACCACCTGACACTCTTAATTCTGAACCACAAGAGTTTCTGTTTGAATGAATTCCTTGTGAAGTTGTAGATAAACGATTAGACTTCTCATGATAGTGATTATGATTATTATGTGGTAATGTTTCATCATCTGAACCACTGAAGTCTGGATCATGATCTCCATAAGATGTAGTATAAGGATCAAAAGCTACTACGCTTACCCAACTATGATGGCCTTGACCCCGAGCTACCACTCTTTTTTCATGAAAACTCCAAATTGTCACAAGATCATCTTCACCACCCACAACAACATATCTTCCATCTGGAGACCAACATACACACAAAAATCCACCAAAATAACTTCTAGCTGAACCCACTAACTCCATTGTATTATATTGAAATACTCGTAAGAATCCATCTTGGGAAACAACTGCTAAGTTTGAACCACATGGGCTAAAGGCAAATTCATTTATACAACATCCTTCTGCACCTATTACCCATCTATACAAAGGGTTTCTTGTGGATTTTGTTTTACAAGTATATATGGCATAGCCATCTCCTGATTTAAAAGATTGATAGTGAGGAGCTGTTGTACCACATAAAAGTTCTTCATTATATAAATATAGTTGTCCAGAACTATGTGATACCAAGAACAAATTATTTGATCCAGGAACCCATTTTATACATGTTACTTTGCTTTTATCTATCAATCTCTGAAACATTAAAAAGAACATTCAATTTATTAAAAAAAAATATTGAAGAAATAATAAATTTATCTTTAAAAAATAATTATATTCTAGAAAGCAGGTTATTACATTATATTATATTGTAGCTATCGTTAATCAATATAGTTTAAAATCATATAAAATCTAAGTAAAATTTAATATAAAATATAAAATAAAATTAAATATTACATAGAATAATTTAAAATATTAATTATGAAAAATAGGTATGAAAAATTAAACTTTTATAATATTTTATAACTAATATTTTTATATATCATATTTAGAAAAGTAACACATTCATATTATAGAGATTTAATAAAATTATAGCTAATAATCTGAAAATATCTTTTCAAAGTAATGTTTACAGTAAAAATAATATATAAAATTATATAACTTATCAACTTGTATTTAATAAATAAATTTCTATAATCTAAGGATTGTATTAGGAATATACAATCTTCTTACATAATCAAAAATTTTAGAACAAAATATATATCATCTCGATATAATTTGTTACTTTTAACATATCATAAGTTACCTACATCTTCGTTATATAATTTGCTAAGTTCTTTTTTTATTGGATCTATCAATTGAATTTGTCCCGTAGAGAAACCAACTAATAATGGTGCACTGTCTGCAGTTGCTGTTGTTTGATTAAAATTATGGCAAGTTGGATTAGTTCCTTTATATAATTTTTTATCCACTGGTTTATTTAAGTCCACAGCCTGGAACATTTTTATGTAAAATTAATTTTAAATTTTAATAACATTTTAAAATTAAGATAATACAAAAATATTTTTTGCAACTAATTAAATTTGTTTATTTATCTTTTAAAATAATAAAAAAAATTTTATTTACAATTAATTATTAAATATAAAATATTAAAATAAATATTTTAAAAAAATATATATTTACAGCAAATATTTGCATTAATTATAAATTTTTTAATTGTATTAAAAATATTTTATTAATTAATATATAAGTTATTTATATTAATAAAAATATTTCATAAGTGAGAATTAAATGACATTTATGTTATACTTTAAATCAAGTAAAAAAGTTATCATTATAAATAAAATAATTAATGTATTTGATTTTAGAGCAATCATTAAATTAAAAATAAATTTGATAAATATAATTTTATATGCAAGAAAATTTTCTATGTTAGGTGTGGTGATGATGCAAAGATGGAGTCTTAGTATGCGTTTTCGAGGTTAGGTTTCGATGAATCCATGCTTAATTAAATATAAATATAACAACAAATACACTAGTTATAAGAAGAGTCTGAGTTACCTTTTTAACTCCTCGATAGACATAAATATAAAGCTCTTTGCCAAAGTTGAAACACATTCGATCACCAAGTCCTTGCGTACCCGTAGGATCCGCTGGATCCGGTAAAGTTACAAAAGACACTCTAACGGATGCGCTTCCTTGACTATTCGTGTAACCGACCCTATTTGGCCTTGAATACTCCGACAAAGTCATTAGCTTATAAGTTCCTTCCCGCGTGACAAACTGTGTTTTCAAGTCCTCCTTCCCTCCTCCATCCAACTGCACAGCCATCTTACCACCAGCGGTGCGACGGAGGAGCTCATCAGACACGAAAAAATCTGCGTTGGTTTCTGCTTTTCTATACGTCTGTTGATAATTCCTTGTCCAAAAGCTTTTAAAAACTGTCAAATATCAATTGGGCAATTTCTTATATTGAAAAATTCCCAAATAATCACAGCTTACCGGTTCTTCATACAACCGCTGTTAAAGGCGCCCCAAGTTCTATATCGAAACTGCTCGTCGTGCATTTACGACCCGCAGCTCATACTCTCAACCTCGTATAGGGTAATTCTGTCTCCCACCATACTGATATTCGTTTTATATTTATATGATAACGAATGTAATGTAAAACTGAATTCGTATGTATACATATTAAATATTAAATAAATAATTTAATACGAAAATTAAAAATATTCATTATTTTAAATATTAATATTTTTGAAAATACAATTAATAAAAAAAAGATATATTTTAATATCTTTTGGAAATATTAATAATATATGAGTTTAATCTAATATTTTCAATATATTTTTAATGATATAAAAAGAACAAAGATTTGTGTAAAGATTGATAAATGATTAATATAACATAATATCTAATATAATTAGATATAATTAAATATATATATTCTAAAAAATATGTAATTATTTTGAATATACATTATAATTTTTATTTTTTATAATTTAATAATATAACAGTGTAGAAATTAAGTAAAATTAAGAATGCACGGCACTGTCGGCGCCGTGTTATTATTGCGCGCGCAGCATCGCCTACTCGCCTGAATTCATTTGCTCCGACAGCTTGTCAGGAACCGGATATTTTGTAAACAACTAAGCAAAGGGTTAATTAATTTTGCTCACTTTTTTCTTCTTCCTGCATTTCTTCATCATTCTATCTTATCAAAAGCACATGTTCAATTGTAATGGTTTATTTTATTTAATAAATTATGGATTAATTATGAATCGGAAAGGTAATAAAAAGAATATATATTATTTTGATATAATTATTAAAATATATTATTGTAAGTTTTAAAAACGCATATATAATTAATTCTTTTTATTTATCACACAATGACTTTTTAGAATATTAAGTTAATGAAATTATACATAAGATAAGTAAGAATTAAAAAATTCACGATAATCAACGATAATTTATCTATTAAAATCATTAGTCATGTGAACTAGATATAGAGAATTCGTTTTGAAAGTTTCTTTTAATTTTTTCTAGTGATAATTTCTTATAATATATATAATATTATGTGATATTATATTATGTATTTATAAATATTTATATAGAATACAACAATAGATTTTATTTAACGAAAACTGATAATTATTAATTATTAAAATATCTCAATAATTAATCATGAAGTTATTAATTTAAGTATAATATATATTTATGAAAATTAAATTATTAAATTAAAATAAAAAATGAATAATTATTATTAATTAATTAATATTTTTAATTATTTCATTTTCGAATGTCATGTGATTAATATGTATATATATGTATGTATATTTATTAATGTCTATATATATATATATATATATATATATATTAACCGTATGACATTACGAAAATAGAATCGAAAAATTATATATTTACTTTTTATTTATTTTAAGATATATATTTTATTTTGAAATTATTATATATCTTTATTTTATAAGTTATTATAATTTAGTAATATCTAGTATCTACTATTTAATATAATCTAATATCTATTATAATATTTTTTATTATAATATTTATTTGTTATGATAATAAATAATCATTGAATAAATGATACTAATAATCTGTATCTGTGTTATTTAAATTCTGCAGTCATCTTTCTAAATGGAGGTGAAAAACTTCAGAAATATATTGTATATACTCAAAGTTTGCGAAACGAAATTATTTTGTTATAAATTAAAATATATATATTTAAAATATATTAATTTAATTTAAATATGTATAATTTATATATAATTAAAATTATTATATATCTTTATTTTATAATTTACTATAACCTATATCTAGTATTTATTATAACCTATAATATCTAGTATTTATATATTATAATATCTATAATATCTGTTATAATCTAATATTTATTATAATATTTATTATAATATTTTTTATTATATATATATTATAATAACTTTTTCTTATGATTTTTTAAAGAATCATTGAATAAATAATAATCAGTATGTTAGTGTGTAATTTGAATTCAGCGGTCATAATGTTTCTAAATGAAAGTGAAAAACTTCAGGAATGTATTGTAACACTCAAAGTTTGTGAGATTAAATTATTTTGTTATAAATTAAGTATATATATTTAAAATATATTAATTTAATTTAATATGTATAATTTATATATAATTATGTAATATATATATATATATATATTCGCACATTAAACAAAAATATTCATGCATTTAAAAAGCACACGTGAGTGAATTTTATTCTTTATTACTTAAAAAAAATAAGAATGGCACATGGTAAAAAGTCATTTCGTGGAAAAAGAAAATTTCATCGTTATAATGATCGACCGAAACCAAAAAAAAATAAATTTAACTTAAAAGATGCAACATATGTGAAAGATCGCGATATTAAAAATAGGGAAATTGAAAAACGTAGACAAATGTTAGAAGAAGAAAAACTGCAACAACAATCGGAAATAGAAAATAATAGCTCTAGTGATGAACAAGAAAATCCGTTACAAAATTTATTGTCTTCATTTTCAAATACTACTAATTTACAAGTGACTGCTATTGATTCTAATTCAGAAAGTGATATATATAGTGATAAGGATGACATTGATAAGAATGATAAAGGAACCAATAATTTAACAATGCAATTCGACAATATAGATGAAAAAGTAGATTTAAGCGATAATGAAGACATTAAAATAAAAGAGGTCGATGAAGAAGATCCAGAAACAGCTCAAGAAGATGCTGGTTATTTAAAAGATCCATTTTCAATTCATCTTCATGATGATTTAAGTGATAAACTTTATGAAGCAGTTTCTAGTGTTCCACAAATTATGGAAACACAAAAGATAACTTGGCCTATTTTAGGCAATCTTATATGTGAAATATCAAAATCTTTTGAAGATTCAAAAGACACAAAAAAATCTAATATTTCTGTTTTAGAACATAAACAATTTGCTAAGTGCGGTACTATCCCTCAATTAATTGATCATATAGAATGGAATAAATTATATATAAAATCTCAAATTCATGGTAATATAACAAAAGCAAATTATTCAAATATAAAAGCTAATATAAATATAAATTCATCTGCTATGACTCCTTTGCAAAAGGAACTATTTTCAATAATAAATAATTATCAAGATTTATATTATCCTGAAAGAACATTTTCTAATGCTGATCAAATAAGATTTGTGTATTGTTTGCATACAATCAATCATGTGTTAAAAACACGTACAAAAGTATTGCATCATAATACAAAAATAAAATCAAAATCTACAAATATAGCAGAAATTCCAGATGAATATAGAGATCAAGGTTTGGTGAGACCAAAAGTTTTAATAATAGTTCCTTTTAGACATTCATGTTTAAAAATTGTTGAATTATTAATATCTATTTTAATTGGACAAGATGAAGGTGGTTCTGTAATGAATAAAAAGAGGTTTATGGAAGATTTTAGTGGTGATAAATTAATAATGCCAAAAAGAAATCCAAAACCTGAAGATTATGAATTGACATTTCAAGGAAATACAGATGATACCTTCAAAATAGGAATTGCTATTACAAAAAAAACTTTAAAATTATATTCAGAATTTTATTCTTCTGACATAATAATTTCATCTTTATTAGGTTTAAGAATATTAATAGGTGCAGAAGGTGAAGAAGATAGAGACTATGATTTCTTGGCATCAATAGAATTATTAATTCTTGATCAAGCAGAATTATTTTTAATGCAAAATTGGGATCACATGATACATGTATTAAATCATTTACATTTACAACCTAAGGATTCTCATGGAACAGATTTTTCTAGAGTAAGAAGTTGGTGTATAAATGGATGGACTAAATACTACAGACAGACATTAATATTTTCAAGTATTCATATACCTGAAATTTATGGAATATTTAATAAGAAATGTTATAATTATGCAGGAAAAATAAAAGTAATAAATCCTATTTCTTCTGGATCTATTTGTCAAATAGCTTTGCAGATTCCACAAGTATTTCACAAATTTGAAACTTCAAGTCATTCTCATGCCTTAGAATATAGAATGGAATTCTTATAACAAAAATACTTCCTCAGTATAAGGATAGAATTATGAATCATTCACTGATTTTTATACCATCTTACTTTGATTTTGTAAAATTACGTAATTATTTTAAAAAAGAAGAATATAGTTTTGTACAAATTTGTGAATATTCTAAAGATGCAAAAGTGGCAAGAGCAAGAGATATGTTCTTTCACAGTGATGCACATTTTCTTCTATATTCAGAACGATTTCATTTTTTTCGTAGAATAAGAGTGAAAGGTATAAGACATATTATATTTTACGCACCACCAATTTTTCCTCAATTTTACACAGAAATGTGTAATTTAATGCAAGAAGCTAATCAAAATCCACGTTCAGGGTCTGAAAGTAACATGACAGTTACTGTTTTATATTGTAAATATGATATTATGCAATTATCTGCAATTGTGGGTAGTCAAAGAGCCAATCAAATGCTTAGCTCAGAAAAATCTATTCATATGATTATGACTGGTGAATAAGGAATAAAAATGTATTTTAAATATTTTATACAACTTTATGTAATTATTTTAATGTCAATTGTATATTATCATTCTTGATGTTATTAAATATATAAAAATTTAGTATTGCAATTTATATTATTAATAATGAAAAATATTTTATTTAACTTCTACTATTTTATTTAATTTTTTACTAGTATATAATTTAAAAATAAATTAAAGAAAAAATACAAAATGATTTTTTTCACTTTTTTAAAATTTTATCATCCAATTATTCAATTTTGCAGTAACAAAATTATTTCAATAAATAATTATAATTCAATTTAAAAATTTATTTTTGCAAAAGTTAAAAAATTATATAGATTTAAAAACTAATTTAAATCATTTTAATCAAAATTATTAAAGTTGTATCATAATAAAATCTAAGATTCTGATAATAAAATTTGATTATTTTTTTTCTTTTTTTTTTTGTTAAAAGTTTTTAATATTATTCTAGCAAATTAATTAGAATATATTTTTGTAGATATTTCTTTGGTTTCTGTACTTAAATTAGTTTGTAAATCTTCAGATATTGTTAACGGAGTACTAGTCGATGACGTTTCAGCAATTTCTGTTAAAATAGTTAACAAATCCTTTTGTTGTTGAGGAGTACTCATAATTTCCGATGAAGAAATTTGTTCATTCGCAATTGTCATTGATTTTGTCATTTTTTCTACCTGCGTTTCTGAAAAAGAAAAAAAGCATTAGTTTTATGAGCGTTCAAATTTTTAATAATAATAATAAGATCGCAACAATTCAATAATTTTAAAATTATTTTTACCATTTATAACAGAAGGAGTAGGGAGAGAGAATTTTATATTGGAGCATTCTGATTTTATGTTTTTTCTAACAACATCTTTAGGATCCCACAAGAAAGTATAATATAACGATAACAAAATTGCTGCCATGCTAACGAATATAACATAGGCTACTACTGTTAATACTCGCACCAATTTTTGTTTGTGCTTTGGCTCGTAAAGTTTATCTTTCCTTTCATCTCCCGCAAATCGAATTTCATTACCTGTCGGTTTATGATCTCGATTTCCTAATGTACGACTAATACTTGCCATTACATTTTGGGCGCTCATTTTGCGCGGTAACTGCATTCTCAATTTACTTTATTTAATTTTCAATTTCAGAACTATTAAATTAAAATTAAATTTATATTTTAGTTCTGATAACTTCAGTATAACATTTCAATTTTTATTGAGTATTATTAAATATTCATAGAAAAATAATAATTGTAATCATGATGATTCGAAGAAAAAGACTTCAAAAGATTTAAAAAGGGATTTTGAACTAAAAAAACACTATTCTCTTCAAATCTTTTAAATTTATAACTTCTTTAATTTTTTTTAATTTACGAAAATGCGCACTAGATTTTACTATATTTCTTATACTGTACACTCTTATGAAGAATGTTTTTACATTCGACAGGTTACGTATGTATGATCGAATATTTTCAATAATTTTACACTAATTATTTTCGTAATCCATATGTTAAAAATATATACGTAAATTTATTTTTACTGATTTACGAATTTTTCAAAATAAAAATCGTTTTGTTTATCAATGGGGCGTTCCCAAGCGAATATAATAGATGTTGGAAATAGTGGCGAAAAAATATTTAAACTTCACTATTTATTAAAAAAAATATGAGATTTCAAGGATGCGATATCCATTTTCTTATTTTTCCATTATTCTATTACTATTTTCGTTTTTTAACTAACAAATCAACATTTACTAGTAATATAACTATTAAATATGTTCGTCCAATGATATCAACGAGCTTTCACTGCGCAAGTCTAAGAACCTTGACTCATTGTGCTTCGTTTTACAAGCTTCAAGGGTTGCTCAACTTTACGGGATTCGTTGAGAGAAAAATGCCCTTAAAACCGATACGAGTAATATTATTTTATTTCGAAAGCATAGCTATTTATTGAAATCTTTATTCTATATTCATAATATAAATATATCTATTTAATAATATTATATATTGATTTTTCTTTAATTATTCTTAATTAGAATTTTATTTTATTAGATTATATACATTTTAATTAACCTTTTAATTAAAAAAGAATAACATAAAATTTGGCAAAATCGATAAAAATTTTTCTATTCAAGTTATATCAAACACAAGAATAAATATATACATAATATAATAAATCAAAAAAAAAAAATATTTCATAAGATATAAGTTGGATAAAAATTATTTTAGTTTCAAGTGAAAATGCTTTCATAAAAATGATAAAGAAACGACTAAAAATGTTGCAAATATTTTATGTAAGTTTAAATTTAAATATTGCCTCGGACTTAATACTGTTTTTAAGTATTTAAGATACATATATAGGGTGTTAATATATTCGTGGGTCCATTCTAAAGTAAAACAAATAAAAGTTCATATATAAAAATATCGATTGAGATTTATTTATTAAATTATTTATTAAACAAGCAATTTAAGTTTGCATTAGATAAAGCAAAATGGGAATAAAATGCTACAACAGTGTAGTGAAGACAGAATGGCTTACTCTATTTTCGTCTTGCTTTGTCTAATGCAAACTTCAATTAATTCAATTTATAATTTAATAATCTATATTTTTGTATACCAATTTTTGTGCTTATTTTATAATCAATATCTCCACGAAAAATGTTCCACGAATATTATATTAATACCCTGTATACGTTATATTCATATTTCATGGATATAATTCGAAGGTTACAAATATCAAGAATAGGTGTTGCTAATATCAGAGCCTATAAACTTTAGTTAAAGCTTAAACAAGATTTTCGTTTCGTTTTCGAAGGTAAGGCGACTTTGACAACGTTCTCGTTTTACAGAGGAGGCACTCCTTTATTTTAATAGCATTATTCTTCGATCATTCCTTGACAAACATAGTTTCGATTAATGATCATTATTCAATAGAAGTTTTACATATCTTAAAAAAAAAAAATAATAATAATAATAATAACAGCGTACAGAAAAAGAATAATATATTGTGTTTTTTTTTTTAATTTATATGTGTATTATTTTATAGATAAAATTATTTAAATTGAAAAAAGTTTATATAATATATTTGTTCATAGAAAATATAATCTTTAAAAAGATATAGCATTAAAGAAGCCATAATAGATCAACTGATCCTATTCTGGTCATTACGCGAGCAATACGGATAATCATTATAAGTCAATTATTACTTTTTTCGATTACTTTTTTTTCTAAGGTTTTATTTAATTTTTTTTAATAAAATATTATATTTTTCTTTAGGTAAGCGTATAGATATCAGTGTATGTTAGCACACAAAATAAAATTAATGATATTTTTCAGTTAAATATAATAAATTACGAAATTATTATCAATATTATATATTTAAAGTTAAATAAAAAAAAAAATTAAAAAATCAAACATAAAAGATAAAAAAATTGATTTACCTTTGAATTTTAACGCGAAATCTGCTAATTTCATTAATGATCGCTCGTATTGTAGACGATTTGCAAATTCGAAATTGGAAGAATCTGTACTGATTCTTTCCAGTCTGTTCAAATTGATCGCAGGTTTCACATTATATTCAAGATTTTCTTTATTTTCTTGAATATCACGATTTTTTTTATCCGTTACAAATCCTTCATCGAATGAATTATCTCTTAAATATCGAGTCATTTTGTCTTTTTCTTTTTTTTTATCAAATGTTTCCATTCTTCTTATAAAATTAGATGGAATATTTTTTTTGTATTGTTTTTGATTTTCAGCAGTTTTTTTCGTCAAATCGTTCAATGGAAAATTATCTCGAGATGATTCAAGATACAAGGAGTAATTTCTAACAGTTGTAAAATGATCGCGTTTCGCTTCATCTCCAGGAATAGTCGGAGATTCCAATGTCTGGGATGTACCATTATTACTAAATATACGATTCATAATTTTAGAGGAATGTCTTGCATCTTTTTCGCTTGATTTTTTCGTCAAGTTTGACGTATTTTCTTTTTCAAACGAACTGTAATTAAAGAAATTAGAACTCGTCCAGTTTTCTCGAGCAAAAGAATTCGAATCATTGATTCTATTTTGTAAAGATTCAATTAAAGAGTTTCTCAATAGGATCAAAGATTCGTTCAATTTTTCATCAGGCGTTTTCATGTAATCGTAATTATGGAAAAGATTTTTTTTGCCGGTACGACCGGAAAGCGAATGTTTGTCGTTAGATTCTTTTGCAGATTCGTTTTCTAAAATTATTCGATCGCTTAATAAGAATTGCATTTCGGGTTCGGATAAAAATTGAATCGGTTTATGTAGAAGCCTTGGATCTGGAGGTTTCCAAAGAATTAAATAATATGCACTTAAGGCAATGGCTACGAAACTTACTGAGAACATGTAAGCCATTACAGTGAATAAACGTATTATTTTCTTGCTACCTCGATTTTCAAAAATATCCGCATTTTCATTCTTTCCCGGAGATTTATTTCCTCCACCAGCCTCTTGAGGACCACCATCACTACTCTCCTCTTTACTCATTGTTACTTTCTTTTTATGATAATGAACTTTAGAAAATTAAATTTCTGATCGAATTGCTTTTAATTGTTTACCAATTTCTTTTCTAATCATTCTCGTTTCTATTTTTTATCCTTATTAAGATCTTATTTTTTTTATCCTCATTATCATCGTCATCTTGAAGGAATACGAATTTTACATTTCACAGTAGTTTAAAATAAAAATTCCACCGAATATGTTCACTCGTGCAATGAAACCGATCTTTCGTTGATACTTTGTATTTTCCATTAATTTAATTTCAATTACACGTAAATGTAGATTTTGCAATTAATTTTTATTTTTTAATTAATATCTAATAAATTTTTGTTTTATTATACACAAACAAAAATAAGAAAATTTTATTTTACAAAATAGAATATGAAAGAGAATATATTGTAGGATGCGCTTCGGCAGCGAAAGCTCGTAAGACTGCAATTCTGAACAAACGTTCGTAGAAAAGTTCCTTCCTTTGCCACGTGTTTGAACCACGCGCAAGCGTCCTTAAGCCGTACTACGTATTAGCGGTGATTATATTTTCCAGTGGTAATTTATTAGAGATCTAAGTGTTTATTCAGTTATATTATCATAAAATTAAATATATTATTGATTAACATATTGTTGCCAAATATTCGAAGACTTGGATTTTGGATCGTCCCAAACGTTAGGATCTTTTTGGATTAACCAATTTTCGAAAAATTCAGAATTTTCTTGTTGCTTCTCCGATACTTTCTCCTTATTTTGTTCATTTTTCAATATTGGTTTCTCTAACACTACTGTTTCTGATGATTTCGACGATTTTTTGCTGGTCCATGTATAAACCAATTTTTCATCTTCTTGATCGTGTAAAATATTTTTATTGTACGATTGCGAAGACGATTGTTTTATATTGTTACAACTACATATCTCTAAGGAGGTGTTAACAGCGATTGAATTTTTTTCGAATTGGTTATTATCGAAAGTTTTTATTTTATGACTATCATTTTGAAATTGTTTCGTAAGATTCTAACAAGAAAATTTTTATAATTATTTTATACATTATTTATAAATAATTTTTTTTTTTAATATATAAAATATAGAATTATTATACCTCGGAATTTGATTGCACCGATGAATTATGGGTATTTGATTCTCGAAATGGTTGTCGAGAGTTTTCGTCCATTCTAGGATTTGGTGCGTATGATAAATTTGGGACGCATTGTTGATTGTTCAAAATTGTGAAAATTTGCGTCAACAAATCATTTGAACCTTCAAAATGGGGAATTGTTGTTTGAACACTTTGTCGTGCGATCAATGAATTTAACGCGGGCATCAATGCCGGAGCGTAAAGTAACACTGCGAGTCTGTCGAGTGAAAAGAAACATGAATATGATCAAAATTTATCTTTCTTATTTTCTTATTTATTTTTATACCTTAATAATTGAATGGTAAAACCATTGGGATCTAACATGGAATTCCAGGTAGATGGTTGCGTCATAGGTGTATAAGCGGTATGAACATTGCTACGTGGAGTCGGAATTCTTTTATGCATTTCTTTCTTTTGTTTTTGAATAATTCGCGTAAATTGCCTCGACGAATCGTTTGCACGTGTTCTTCCATACGGTAACTTCTTCGTGTAATTGTTCCAATAATTACGATTACCTAGAAATATTTCACGAATACCAAAAAAAAAAAAAAAAGTAACCAAAATTATTTCTTCATATTATATTATATATTCGTAATTATAAAAAATTCAATTTTTTTGAACATACACTTTTCTTCAGAATTGATATTCTGTTGTTGGCAGTGAGATGTGGATTGATCGGAAATATCATTATTAAATTTTGAACCCATTATTGGTTGAAATTCTGATGTATTTACAGCGGGTTTAGTCTGTGTACAATCTTCGTGTTTAACATCGAAGTCAGTATAGTTCGACGTTTCCGGTTCGTGTTTCTTGTCAAAGCTTTGGCATATTTCCATCGACGTCTTTTCGCCGTTAATAATTATAATAATTTTGAATCATTTATAAAATAAAATAAATTAATAAGTTTTTATTAATAATGATTAAAAACTGATAAAAAAATTTGATCGTATGATCTTAACCTACTTTCCGAGTTTCAAACGGATTGAAATATTTTTTCGAATTTCCAAAAATAATTTTAGATTCATCAGAATCTAATTTATCTGCAGCTTTATGAATATCAACGTTTATCTACAAATATATTATAAAAAGTACATATATATATCTTATATTATCAAATATCTTCGATATCATTTTAATTACTTTAGATTCAGCTTGTTTGTGTTTTGATAGATCATTTAATTGAATTGAATCTTGTGGAAGAATCACAGCTATATTATGCATTGAACAAACAGTGGTTGAATTGCTAGCTAATGATCTTGGTTGAAATGTATTGCTATCAGGCTCTTTTATAGGATAAATATCATTCTGTAAATTCTAAAAAAAATAGAGATATATTAGAAAATTAGAAAATTAAATAAGAAATATTTAACGTTTTGTTATTCTTTTTTGGGCGAATACCTGTGAGGAAATCCTATGTTTCATCCAATCTGAGTCAGTCAAAGTTTTTCTGATTGAATTTTCTTTATTTCTTTTCATAATATAATGTTTCCTTCTTGATGAAACGTTAATTTGCTCTGGATTCTTTTTGTATTGACTTTTCGAGGAAGTTCCAAGAAAATGACCATATTTTGTGAGGGAACATTCGTTCCAATTTACGTCTGTTTGTGCCTTTGGAAAAATAAGTTAAATGAAATAAAGTAAAAAAAAAAAAAATTATTATTAAACAGCTAATAAAATATTGATAGTTAAAATACCGATTGATGTACGGCATTGGTATTACGCGATATTACTGGGATTAACATTCTTGCTCGTGTTAATTCCCTTTCCATAAATAAATATCTTTCTTTCATTTGTCTTATATATTCCAATAAATATCGATTAGATATATTTCCACGATTACTAAAATATAATTAATAATTTATTATACATTTCCTTGAATAAATAATTCGTCTAATTTAATAGATCAAATTAATTTTTTGTTTTATATATATAGATATATATAAAACTAACGTTTGAAAATATAGATTATTTAGATTATTTGGTTGAACATGATCATCGTCGATAAAGATGAAATTCAAATCGAGCATTAGTCCATCATTTCTTAAATATGGTACGCTTATTAGTTCAGTAAATGGTATTCCATGTCCTTGACTTGGAGATAATTGTCGAATATAATCATTACGTCTTTCATCGTGTTGATTATCTACAGGCTTTAAGAAAATTTGTCGTCCAAACATACTTGTTAATTTTATAGAAATAAATTCACAATAAATTTTGACAAATTTTAACTATGATCAAAATTAATATAACCGTTCATTTAGGTTGTGTTCTCCATCGTATATTGTGTTTTGTTTTTTTCTTTTTTCTTTTTTTTTTACATTGCAAGTGAAACTTGCGAACATCGATCTAAGATTTATTTCTATTGATCATCAATAAAATTATATATTTGAATTTTTATTTGAATTATAAAGATCTTTTTAAAATGATATCAATATTCTATATTCGAAGACGTGATTATATATGAAATGATACTGCATTTATTGAAATGATACTATATTTAAAGATTTATTTTGTGTTTTTAAAATAAAGTTCGACGCTTCCTGTGTATATTTGTTCAGCATCCTCTGATTAATGTCAGCATCCATACAGAAATTTGGTATTTCTGAATTATTAGCGACTATTACATTTTCTATTACGTCTTATTTTTACTAAATTTTTATTAAAATTTTTTTTTATCAAACACTGTATATGTAAAACTATTTTTATTCTTGTATATAAAAATAAGTAAATTTTCATTAATTAAACGCACATTAATAAACATAATTTAAAAACAAGATTAATAATACATTGCGTAATATAAATTATAATTTTTTTAATTTATATGAAATTTAAATCAAATTTTATGGACAATGTTCATATAATTTCTATCTTTAGAAGACATTTTGATCTTACGCTTACGTTGTATTGCAGCTATGTTCCGTTATATATAAATTAAACGATACGTGGACTCCAAATGATGATCGTATGTTATTATATAGATTAAATTCTGATAAAATTCTGATTATATTTGTTCTTGCTATTTATTACTAATACATGATATATATATACATATGTATATATACATATATATATTAACATAAAGAAAAATGTTAGTTTAATTCTGATAGTGTAGTGAAAAGTGTAATTTTCTTGTTTTATTTTATCTTTCTATGGTGGAATGGTCAGTCTTATTAGAAATTTAAATACATCAGGTAGTGTGAGTATAACAAAAATGATATTATCAATGAAATTGTTATTTCATCGTATTCTATTTTCATTAGTTTCAATGTAACATAAACATAACCTTTTCTTATGAATTTGCAATTCAGTTTAAAATATATAATTTATACTGTTATAACATCATAACATCATGATTGTATTATGAATTTTTATTATATAGTGTATTATATGATTGCAAATGAATATAAAATTATATTGTAGGGAGCTGTATATTTTGACTCATCTCATAACATGGATGACGAAGAATATCTTCAACCTGTATTAACTTCTCAAGAAGAACATTTTCATAAATTAGATACTGTTCTAATTACATTTATCCCTCTTATATTTGGTGTAAGTATTAATTTCTCTGATAAAATAAATAATAATAATAATACCAATAATAAATATTATACGTACATTTGAAATTTTAGGTATCTTTAGAAATTATAGGAATTATATTTATAGCTCTATGGCCTGAAGAAAATAATAAATGTGATACATATTTTATATACTTGTATCTTCACTGTGCATATTGGTTGTTAATAATGTTAACAGATCATTTAGTAAAAAGAAAACATCATAAGCTTCGTATTTATGGATATCTTGATTTTTATCAATCAACATATCAACAAATAAGAACACCTCTTTTCATAGCATCGTTATGGATAACATGTTATTTATTATTAGCTGTGTTTTTGCATCACACACATAAAGTTAATTATGAACAATATTGTCGTGCATCAGAATGGTTCACACCTCTAAATTATATAGTGTTCTTGACTACATTGGAACTTATAATTATTGTACCAGTTTATATAAATTATATTAGTAAGTATAAAAAAAGATATTAAAAATATTTATTCTATATAAATATAGAGGTGTAAACATTTTTTATTTTACAGAACAAGTTTTAAGATTTAATCGATTACGTCCACCAGCTGATGTTGCTAGAGAAGAATGGTTATCTTCTTTTACTCAAGATACATATGCAGGTAGTAATGAAGTAGGTTATCATCATAGAGAATCTAATTTAGAAGAATTGCTTGAAAAACAAGCGGATTTAATAAGATATTTAAGAGATCATAATGTTAAGTTAAGTCATAGAATGATGCTGTTGGCAGCCCAACGTAGATTACCTGAAGCATGAGATTCTGACAAAGTACAAGCCTTATATGTATAAGTGACGTTTTATCATATATATGTTATTTTATATATTATATTTATATATTTAATTATAATATTAAGAGTATAAGACAAATATTTTTTTTTTATAATTTCGTTCATTTGTACCGTTTCATAATGTTTTCCATTATATTTTTTCCCCCTTTTTTATTTCTGAATGCACTAACTTTTAATAATATGTTATTTCGAGTGTAAGGCTTGCACAATTAAGATTGGAATCATATGTTCGTTTTTTTTCTGATATTCGTATTACCACGATGTTTGAATCCTTTTCATACATTAATTATTGGACAAATGTTAAATATTTGACATTATTTTTATTATTTAATTATATTAATTTAAAATAATCGTATAAGTGGCATTATTAAGTTAAAAAAGGTATCATGTCATAAAAAATACGTGATTATAAAAAATCAAAAATAATTTCTGTGATAAGAAATGTATATATCCAATTGAATAAAGTATATATTTTTTTCAATATACAGCACTTATAATTTTAGTTACATCTAAATACACTTTACATTATTTATAATACATTATTTATTTGAATTATATGAAGTTATTGTATTTAGACTAGCAATATCTTCACTACATAATATTCATTTTTTATTACATACTATGTTGACTAACATGGTAACAAAACACAATAATGTATTTTGCATTTTTCAAAATAAGCTCCTTTATCATTAAATTAAATGAATATACTTTTAATACCAAAACTAATTTTTTTAGTTAAAGTATGTTTAAAATATCATTAAAAAAAAAAAAGATAAATTCTCTTATATGTTTGATGTATTATGTTGAAAAATTATTTTAACAATAAACTAAATGTATCTATATATATATATATTTTTTTTTTTATAATACATATATGCATATTTCTATAAATGTCTAATAATACCTAATTTATATCGATAAAAACCTGACGCAATGTGCACGTAGAGACAAAAAAGATTATACTCGTGGTTATTTGGTCCGTATTTAATGCGAACCTTATATAATATATGTTATAACAATCGCAAAATAAGGTTCTCAATAATGATTTCTTTTTTTTAATGTGTAACTACGTATATTATAAGGCTTCTTGTGGATGAACATCTTAAACGATGCATTATATTAAAAGAGAATTCTATTTACAAAAAGTTGACGTGTATTACGGCAGGCTTAGACTCCTATGCTAACATATGAATCTATATATGCTTCCATGGTATATAAAATTATTCACTTATATATATGGAACACTTAAATATACAATGCTATAAAATGTAGAAGCTTGTACTTATTTACTACTTATTTACTACATAATTACAATTTCGACATTTTCCTTTGGAAATGAAAATGTACTACAAAATGATGGTTATGAAAACAATACTAAAACTGAAACTTCTTGTTATTTTAGTTAGTTACTATACTTTGTTCTTTGTTTTTTTTGAAAGTTTGTACTACACGTTAGGCCAGCCATTTTTGCTGCGTATGTATATCGGATACATTAATCCTGATTATTTCAAGATTGTAAAGAATGTATACCGAGTATTTTTTTTTTTATTATTGTCTTAAAGAAGAAGTTTTTCAGACTTCATGATAAACGCAAATCGAGAATATGTTCTCGTATTAGTCAATTTTGAACATTTTTTTGCCAAATTGTTTTAGAGCAATGAGCAACAAATTTTGTCAAATTTCACTTGATCATTTCTATTTTTACATATCCACACTATTTACGAATATTAGATTTACGTTTTAAGAAATAGAAACGAACGTACAAACGCTATGGCGTTTTGTATAAAATTACGAGAGGCGCAAAAAGTTCATTTGACATTTAAGGACATGTATCAATTGTGACGCGATTTTTATGATGGTAAGATTTTTAATAATATTTCCTACAAATAAGCAGTGATCAAGGATTTTGTTTTCAATTTGCACACGTTTTCCTATCCATTTCGGTAATGTATCGTTGTTTAAAAAGTAATCTCAACAAATTTTATCTTATAGAAATTATACAGATAATAATTTTCAGACTATAGAAATATACGCTTGTTTAAAAAATAGTTTTCTCTTACATTTCTCATTGTTCTATTTTGAATCATCGTTATTTATTATTAATAAACGCACAAAACTATTTATTATAATCCGCACAACACTTTCCGTTAAATTTCCAATTCGCACTTGAAGAATCGACGCGAAGGCGCGGTGGTCCCAATCCTCACAACTGTTTTACGATGATTGTTAATGATGAAATCACGCGTGCGTGGCTCCAACAACGTTTCCACTTGCCGAGAGTTGCTCCTCGGCCTCCATCATTTTTAATTTTCTTACTACCTGAGCGTGTTCCTCGAGTAACCTCGCAAATTCCCCTCTTCTAGTTTCGGCTTCCACTTGCATCTGCTTGATTTTTTCTCTAGGTCCGCCTGGACTGTCCAATGGCGTTTGGGAGGACGAGTTCTGGGAACTGGTTTCATTCGATAAGCCATCCAAATCCGAGTTCTCGCTTGATATCGAGTGGGAATCGACATCGTCTACGATCAAGCTGTAAATTAAAAAAAAAAATGTTAAAATTTGAATACATTTTTTTTTTAATTGTTATGTTGTTGCGAATCTAACTCTGATTTTTTTTTTATATCGAAAAATGGATGAGGATAAATTTATATGTTATATGTATCTATATATTTTATGCTTAATAATCCAACAATTATATTTTATCTTATTTTTTTCAATCGATTTTCGATATCATTTTTTTTTCGAGATCTGGTTAAACCCATCTACTGATATTAATTTCGATCGAAGAAGGCTATATACAATAAATTTAAAATCGAATTTAAATATTAAATATCGTTGTACAAATGTTTGTTTACTAATAGTTTATTAGTGATACGTATATTATAGTAACGGCACTCGAGTCTATGTTTCGAATTTGGGTTTCGAGAAGCTAGCAGGTCTCGTCGCTAAGAGGGACGTGATTTTCGTAGTTGGTCTAAACTATCGACGTTCTGCCCTGCAGCATTCTAGTGGCAACAATTGTCGCTTGCGTCAATGTTACGTCATTGGTACTGAAGTACCTAGTCTAGGCTATAACGAATTGATTTTACGTAAAACATCGCGTATAATAATAATATAATTATTTGAATAACTTTACGAATAAGGACACAATAAGTATAAGCAGAATTTTTTATTTTACAGAAATAAATATCTTAATTTAATCACGATGGAAAAATGTTTTATTATATGAGAAAAAAATTAGAAATTCTTTTAATTTGCGTCATGATCTATAATGGATGATTGGATTATGCTTCCTTATAGTTTTGATAAAAATAAAATCGTTTTCTCGATAAAAATACATCTTCAATATTAATTTACGAAACTGAAATTAAGAATGATCATCATACTATTCGATGACATCGATTACTTTTCGGGTAATGATTTTTCTATTAAACCGATTATAGATAGATAGTTATTGGAAATACACCCACGAAAATTCTAGAAATAACAGACTTTCGTTTGCGCGTTTGAAAATGTATGCACGATTTGGTCAGGATAACCAAATCTATTCCTAGGTACGATCTGATCGGCTATTATATATTGACTTTGCCGTTTTCACACATGTATTACGTGAACAATTATTATCTATAAGTATCTTTGGCATCTTTTTATCCAGCATTAAAATCATTTGATAAAATCTAAATTATTAAATCGTTTTAATTCTTAAATTTTTAAAATCATATCAATTCTTGCGTCGCATTTTTAAAAAAAAAAATTTACGATTTTTTACCTGAATGCACCGTAAATTTCTCTTCCCGATGCCATCGTCACTGCGATATCAGGCAACGATCCTGAAACAAAGAGTGAACTCAACAATTCTAATAAAAAAAAAAATCTTTTTTATCAGATCCATTAACTCAGATCAAGCATCGTGCATGGATAAGACGCGTTTATAACTGCTATAAACATTTATAACATAATCGTTAAACGATAATTTAAATACGTTTTTGTCATCGAATAGTAAAGCGTTTAATTTATCGTCAATCAAATCTTTATCGTGATGATTGCGACGGCGAATCTCTATGACGTATCGTAGAATATTATTACACGCTATTTAATTTCAACGTGATGAAACCACGGCTTTGTTCTCCCTGCTAAGTGATAAAATTCTCCTCCGCCTCGAGACAACCAATCAATTAAAACGAGTTGAACGATTCGCGAACATTTTTGGGAATCGAGTCAAGATTATTACACTGAGTCCTCCCAGGAAACGCATTTCGTCTTATATATCGTTGACACGCGTCTCCGGCAAGGACACGATGCGTAAACGAAGCCCTCGTTTATTTCAAGACAACGAGCGCGCATATCGGAAACTACCGATGCTCATGCTCGATATATAACGTAATAAAACATCTTATCTTGCATTTTCTTCGCGAATTGGTGATGGAAAGTAATTTTTCTACTTTAGCAGTTGTTTAATTCAACGTTTCGAGACGTTTCTTTTCGAATACACGGTAAAAGATTTTATACATTAAAATCCAAATCAGTTTTTTTTTCAAAAAAAAGAAAGCAACTGAGAAGAATGATATCATCGTGACGTTAATGTTGACGCGATATTATCTCCGTTTGTCATTCATAAGATTTAATATATTATACGATTGCGACTTTTCAGTGATTTTCTTACGTAAATTGAAAATCGTTTTGTTTTATTTAATGAAAGATCGATTGATGACCTGACCCCGCACCGCATTGTATTGGCTCATCAAACGTGAAACGAGCAAATGAAACACAAATCATAAATAGAATATTTTTTTATTTCTCAAAAAAATTTCGAGTAAAAAAAAAAAAAAAGAAAGAAAAAAGAATCGATCGGTTCGGTAAAAATATTATTCGTGACAACAGGCCGACCGTTTTACACGAACGACGTATGCAAATTTATTCGATGGAAGCGGACCAAATCGAGTCCATTTACACGTGCACGTTGCACACGTCATATCCTACGTCACGAACCACGCGAATTTTAATTAATACTTTCCTCAATATTCCACCCTTGCTCCTAATAGCACCGGTTAAAAGTTCGACAAGGTCGAAGAACACGTTATGTATATCGAAAAATTACGCGCGTTATTTCCGATATCTCATTCTCGATTGATGGATTACGCGATTATCGATGGCTATAAATGCGAAATCGTCGGTGATGATCGGAGCGATATATGCGTGTATGAAGAAGATGGTATCCCGATCTTTCTAAAATAGAATCGACGAACTCGATTCCGACCGAGACCAGAACCTTGGCCCCATAGAGTAGAGCTTACATCCGTTTCGTTGATGAAATGATTAATTAAGCGCTACGTGGACTAAATATCTTCAAATATCGGGATTTTAACGAAATCGATTATAAAACTCTATTTTTAACCAATGTGTTACAATGTTACGTTATAATATATATTACGAAGGTGATAACAAAGAAGAATGTCTGCTCTAATCTTAGAAATTAGATGTACGTGTGAAAAGATCTGATCATCGAAATCACATGTTATAATAATGTAAAAGGAATTTTCTTTATTCGAAAGATCGTGGACCGACGACCTTCGACTCGAGGAAGAGAATCTTGAGTGCTTCGCGACCTTAGACAATACGACTTGTATACAAAATATCCACGAACCGTGACCACTTCTGCGAGCCGAACGAAAGAAGAAAGAAGGAACAAAGAAGAGCGTAGAGAGAAGTCAGAGGCGACAGAGAGAGGAAAGGTAAATGTAGGTATCCTCTCGTATTATTGCACCGGATAAACGTCAATGCCGTTTAGAACCAGTTGTAACGTTTCCACGCTAGATTCCTGGCGTCGATTTCAAACCTGAATATTTTCATAACAAAACGTTGCCCGTCAAAAAGCTCTAATTACACACCGGAATCTTTATTTTAAATATTTATATAACTTTGTATATAAGTCTCGCGTTGTTGCTGTTTTCAAACGGTAACATTTTTATTCCCTTTTTTCTATTTTTCGTTTTTCCGAAACAAGAGATATCGATAACGATAAAAAATTCAAGGAAATTTTTATTTTACTCACCTCTGACCATCTGTGCTGGAATATTTCTGATGAATTTATCTATTTCTCTTCTCGTCTTCTCGACTTTTCTTTTTTATCTTTATTATTATTATTATTATTATTATTATTATTATTTTGATTAAATAAAATCGATCCTAAATGGCTGTTCGACAAATTCTCTTCCTTTGGAAGCGAACGATGAGTGGAAGAGCGAAAGACGAGTGGAAAAAAGATAGTTTCAATTGAATAGTGAACGAAACCGACAGAGCGGACAGAGAACGCGATGTTCACTACTCGAAAGATTCGCGCAGACTGACTCCGCTCCGGCCTCTATTGCCGCGCTACAACCAACAAACTGCAGGTTACCGCTTCAACGAAGAGAGAAGGGTGGATGCAACCGACAAATTTTATTTCATACCGTCACCCCCACTTTCTTATTCTTTCATACATTCGATAAACCCTCCCCGTTTCGATCGTATGCATCTTACTACATCCGATACACTCGAACGATACCATTGATTAGAAAATGAAAATGCGTGTATATCAACCACTCGATATCGTATATCGATATTTGTCACTAAAAATATCCAATTTTTTTTTTCCTTTTTTTCTTTCAAATCGACGATAATCCTTATCGATGATGAATAATCCTCCGTAAAATTGGCCGCAATTTCTATTTCAGTCCGCGCCTTGTTTTTAACTCCGCACCAACTATTTTTAAACGATTGATCTTTATTGTTGTTAAATGATTTCATAAAAGATCAGGCGAACATTCGCGCGGGGGCAATTAACAATTGGCCGTAATTGTTCGCGATTCCATTCCAGTTGCCGAGGTGGGCAACGAGAAGTGGGCAGAAGTCGGAAGACGGAGAAAGCGGTGGAAAAAATTGGTGGGGGGAAAACTCTTGGGGGAAAAAAAAAAAAAAAAATTAACTTGTCTTCGAGAGAAAGGCGACGATTTACACAGATCGGATCGATGTTTCGCAGAAACGGATATTGACTGCTTATTTAACTAACGGATGAATCATTCGTATAATGACGTCCGTACGTACTCTTTGAATTTCGATTATGTAGGTACGGATTATACGCGCAATTACATTACATCTTGCAATTAATTTTTACCTCGTTCGTATAAAAAGAGGAGAATAGAATTAGATTCATCGAAATCCCACGTGCGTAGATAGTTTTTCCGTAGGAGGCGCGCATTGTATTTGATCGTTATTATCTTAATATTCACGCGTCAATGTTTCGCGTGAAAATTGAAATTCATTTCCCAATAATTTTTTGCAGATCGTCATTTTAGCGATAACATTTAGACGACCTCGTCCAGTTAGCCAGACGGGTTAGCCTGGCGACGAAGCACTCGATGGATCATCCATTATTCTCTCTATATAACACACGAGAACGTAAAAGTGTATTAAGTAATCAAGGAAGCTTTTTCGAAAGGGGAATGTTTCAAAAGAGAAAGGAAAGTAAATTTCACAACTTGCGCACAACCGTAACTTAATTCTAAAAATTAAAAATTTTACCCATAAACTTTTTTAATCAACCCGAGTGCAAACATCTTCCGGAAAATTCTCGTTTCGTTTATTTCATGTATTTCATAAAAACACGCGGCTGAGAAATGCCCGGATGATGATGGGCGCGGATGCGGCCGAAGGAACGCGGCCGATCCATGTCGGTTTTCAGGGTCACTCGCGAAACGAAGACCATACAACTGTTCGGTGGTAAATTATTTCGGTTGGTCGCTAATTTTGTCGCGGTATGCCATACCGCGCAGGGAGCGTGGTGGTTAACCATCGTCACGAAACGCGTTCACTCGTCGTCGTGTGTCTGCGTCCTTAACCCCTCCTCTCTCTCTCTTCTCCCTCCTCCTCGTCCGTCATCCCCCTCTCGCTTCCCTTTGTCTCGCCGCTGTCGAGAGATCGGTCGGCCGATCGACTCCCTATTTTCGCTCGTTAAGCCGACTGCGACATTTCCTCCACGGTGGAAAGGCTCGATAAGGGAATCGCGTGCATGAGATAAAATTTTGAAAAATATCTCGTGGAAATATTCGTACACGGAGGGAAGAGGGAATATTCAGAGACGAGTATGTGTAAAATGGTGAGGGTAAAAAAAGAAAAGAAAAGAAGGAAAGATATAGATATATCGGAGAGATGACGTTGGAGGAGGGATTTGTTCAAAGTGGAGGGAATTAGATTAATTGGGTTATAAAGTAGAAAAGAAGGAATTGTTATCTAAATTGCAAGATCTATCGTGCAAATATCGCGAACGGTTAATGGGAGGCGATCCGGTATGATGATAATATCGAATATAGGTGATCCGTGTTTACATTTACGTCAAATCTGGAGAAAAAATCGAGAAGAATCTCTAAGCTCGGATTTCTTTGGCGAAGATAAAAATTGTCTCCAAGATAAGTACATGCGTCAACGCTGATATCTTATCGAGCCCTCTCTCCAGTTTTGCATAGATCGTAATCTTTGATTATTGTGAGAATGACTGTCAAGTCATGTCGAAAGAGGTCGTCTAAATTCGAATTCGATCTCGAACACTTTT